TTTGCATACCTTCTCTTCATCTGCAAGTCCTGAACAGCATATAACCAATTTCTTGGGTAATCCTTGAAAAGGCTTACGCTGGAGCTCGGCAATGTCAGTTTCTCCAGCTACTTGGTTTGATGGTGTATGCAATGGTCTAGAGAAGATAGATAGTGATACGATATCAAAAACTAGAATCACCTCATAAGCCCCATCAATAGAATAAAAAAGACATACCCTTTAGGAGTACGCTTGCGTTTTCCTTCTTTTGGAACAGTCTCTTCACAAGGCAACTTAGAGGACGCATCTAAAGGGCATAGCATTACAAAGTTTTCCTGTTGATAAGAAAAGGTGTTAAAGAAACCGGTTAAGGGACTACATAGAGGTTTCTGTAGTCTAAGCAACACTTACATTGTCCCATCTGCATTCTGGTATCAGTTTTGCACATGTAACATGAAAACTATTCTTGCAACTCTTATTGTAACAACCAAGTGCTGCGCCTTTAAGCCCACAGCAACTACAACTTATTCTCCGGCTTCTTGTCAATTCTACATCGAGGTTGACCGCGGTAAGGTTGTTGAAGTATACATTTGGAGCCCTGAAAATGTAACAGACTTCTTCTTTTCAGTCTGTAGAGTATCAAAAGCATGTGGATGGATATTTACTACTATTCAGATTTCTTACCATTCAGCACAGTTTTTGTGAACATGTATGACTTTAGACGCACCATTAAAATCTGCAGAGACAGGCTCACCTCTGTGGTAATGAGCCATTTCTCCTGAAGCCTGTCAATGTAACATTCCAATTAAAAAAATGGTAAAATAATCAACTAAAGGTCTACATCTACAACTTCAATGTGTGATAGTGAAGCCTACCTCTGTGTCTTCTGAAGACTGACAAAAGGCACATGTGAATTTATTTATGGGAGGTCCATCACATCGTCGCAAAAATACACTACCTTCAAGTGGAGGCTTGTTTACCGTTGAGCATTTCTCTAAAACTTGAATGGTATGATTGCCTTCATCTACGGTGGAGTTCTTTTTGTTTGTTGAATCTTGTCTATCACCCACTTGATTCAACTCATCACTTAGAATTCTCTTGCCACGCAGTTGTGTAACTTTGCTTGGGACTGAACAGGAATCAAGCTTTGATCTCTTTTCTGAAGTCTTCTTTTCAGTTCTCCCAGGAACATCTTTCGGTAAGGAGTTTGCATTAGATTTTCTTCTGCTTTTTCTAAGAGATGATTTCTTGGTGGGACTGTGCTTTTCAGGCTGTGCATCAGATGAATTGTGGGCTTGATCCTGATCCCCCTTTCCCGCAATTTTTGTTCCGTGTGAGAGCTCATTAGATCCAGCAATCGGTTGAGCTGGAGAGGACTTAACGGTAGATCTTTTCCTCTTTGTCCCCTGCTTCCCATCTGCTTCAGTAGATATATTTAGACCAGACTGAACATTTGAACACTTACCCTTGCTTCTTGTAACCCGTCTAGCATTCGCATTTTCATCAGGATTTCCATTTATTCCGATGATTGTGCCAGAAGTTCCACGACTATCTTGTTTCTCACCAATATCTGCTCCTGCAGATGATTCCATTTGGTCCTCCTGTGAAACCTCAACATGTAGTCTAGCAACTGTCTTTCTTGCACTTCCTGCTTTTCGTTTCTTATATTTGGATCTTACTACTTTAGATAGTTTCTTTTGAGTAAGATCAATCTCACGTCTACCTAGGACCTGTAAATTTGATTTGACTTTATAAGTTAATTTCAACACATTTGAAGACACTATCAAATAAGTTAATTTCAACACATTTGTAGACACTATCAAATAAAACAAACATGTCTGTGTCAGACTGAAAAAACTGCCTTTACCTTGGCCTTCACAGGACTAGGTAGAATCTCTGGAGAACAAGGCCTCTGAGTCCATTCAAACATTTCGCTATCAAACATCTCTCCGAGGTTGGGCTTCTCATGCTCATCTGCCTGAAACACTCACCAAGAAGAAAAAGTAAGATCAAAGGATCCAACACTCTTTTAGATACTGGAACTTATCAGGGATCTTCATGTTACTGAATATGACTTTTATGAGAGTAATAGGTATGTGCGTGTCATAGAGCCTTTAAACCCCACAATATTCAATCTAAATCAAAGATAACCTCCACCATATAACTAAAAGATGGATCATACAAACTTTCTATAAACTCAGGGAAGTGTTGCATGTCCCAGTACTACAGAACAATATAATGCAATATGAATACTGAAAGATAGCATTGAAAAAGGCTACTGGGGTTTCAAGTACTTACTTTCGACAGGCTCTCATGATCTGAGTCCTTCAAATCACTGAAAGAAGGAACATCAACAGGTGTAGTGTCTGAAAGTTGATCACTTGTAGCTCGCTGACTTAAGCTCTCCCCATCATCTTCATCTCTCACCCAAAAGAAAGGTGCCAAATTTCCTTCTTTATCCTCACATGGATGCTCATTCAAACGAACCACAGTTTTTTCAGTGTAATCCTTGAGTTTTCCAGCGACTTCAACAGATTCTGTAGATTTTGTTAAACTTTCAGAAGACGGATTCTGCAACAGCTGCACTCTTTTCTTGGTTTGGGATGAAGGTTTCATAACAATAGGTCCAGGTGCATCTAAATCAGCTTCCTTCGTCTTTCTGCACCTCTTCTTCTTGGATGTTAAGCTTTTCGCAGATCCCTGATGCTTCTTATCATTTGCCTTTTTTGTGGAAGCAGGTCTCTCATGCTTCTCTTTATCTGTAGTCACAAATCACAGAACACAATAAAAAAGTACATATCACTTCATTCAGATCAAACCAGAGATTTTACAGCCAAATCCCACTTGTAACGAGTCAATAACTGCCTTCATTTATTCAAGATAATCAAACTGTTGAAGCATTAAGGAAACTATAAGTACCAGATGGTGATGATTTATTCTGGCTTTCAGGTATGTTGACCCCAGAAGCATCTTCCATGCTCTTGTAAATACTCACCAAGCTATCCATATGAGGAGCACCTCGAATCTCTAATATATAATGATCAAAACTAAGTTAAAACAAGATATATTTGGAAAACTTGGTAGACTTAGATGAAAAACTGACTCTACTATCATTTAAGAGCATTGAAAGTATACCTCTACGATGGTATGGGATTTTACATACTGGACAAGTAGCATCCATTTTCATTGACTTCACTATACATGCACTGAAACCAATAGAAAACACGCGTTAATACAAAGAAGAAAGAACAAACTAAAACGAAATTGTATAAGAACACATAAAGAGAAGGTTCTTACTTGCAAAAGACATGGTTGCACGAAAGCGAAACTGCAGAATTAAACAGACTCAAGCTGCAAAAAAAAAAACAAAATCGAAATTGTTGGATGAGGAAATCAAACAAATGCTCAAAACCCACTTCGATTTCCACACAATACATACTCAGAGAGGAGATTAACGAATCTATACAGAGCGAAAACAAGAAACCCATGAAACAAAACCAGAGATCGATGAGAAAGAGAACAATAAAATTAGGGTTTTTTCGTGTTCAAGATAAGATCCCCAGATAGAGAAAGAGATTTTACCAAATAGGGCACTTGAGTTCTCTTGCCATTTTCTCCAAGTGACTCGAATCTCCCATCTTCTCTTTCGATCTATCTTCGCAGAAAAACGAAACGAATCAAATCGATAAAATCAAAAGTGAAGCGACTCTTTTGGGTATATAGAGAAATTGTGAAGCGTATCCTACAAAGAGGATTCTCATGGAAGCTTAGAGAAAGAACCAAAAAGCGCCAAACTTTTCGAATAATTTCAAATCCCGCCAAACAAAATAAGTGAAAAACGCGGTTTATTAATTTTACACTAAATTTTTGTTTTGCCCCTGGAAATCTATTAATTTATGAAATCTGAACCCATTGTTTTAATTACACAGATTTAACCCACATATTAATGGAGATCTGAACAATTGTGTCGAAACATGA